TGCTGAGCGCAGAGCCGCCGGTGAGGGGCAGCCGAGACACCCCCCCCAGCCACCTGCTCCTGCCTACTGCAGCGCCCAGCACGTCCCTTAGCAAAGTTTTAGGACTGATTTTAGCTTAAATGTCTGTAATTTTCACCCTAGCTCCATCCCAGCCTTTACGAAGAAGATCTCTGCCTAGCCACGTCTCGCATCCAGAGGGTAAACTCATTACCCCGACCCCCGCCCCCGCAGTGCCGGGGATGTTCTTACCGCTTGTCAAAAAAGGCGTGGACGATTTTCCCCCTAATTGGGTTGAACTCCAGATCAGGGATGCTGTCAAAATTTTCCTTGCTGCAGAGGGAACAGAGACAGCGTAAAGCGTGAGGGAGCCGTGGAGGAGGGAGCAGCGCCGGCAGCCGCCGAAGGGTGGGGCAGAAGCCCCAGCCCCATTCTTTCAAAGCAATCACGAAAAAAAAATGAAGTTTGGCCTGAAACCCCCTGTTCATTGCAATTCAAACTGACCTCAAGCTGCCCTGCCACATCTGTGCTTGGTGCAGCTACCGGGGATCTTTTTGTCCCCATTAAAATGGGTCTTTGGGAAGCTCTGGGCCACAGCGGCTCGGGGCCGATGCTGGGGCCCTTTGCACGGCTTGGCCTGCAAACAGCACGGTTTTCGGAGAGTTTTCCCAGGAATAAGGTCCTGAACGGGTCAAGGTGAGGTGAGGGAAGGTGCTCCTGCCCTCCACCCTCCCCTTGGCTTCCCCTGCCCTGCACGCTCCTGCCCTGTGTTGTGCTCCACAGCCACCAGCCTCAGCCTGTGCTGGTTGTTTGCTGTTGACTTTTCATAAAGCAAATGAGCCAAGAAATAATCTCCGGGGCAGGGGAAGCAGAGGGCAGCTGGGGTCCCCGGCCTGCGCTGGCTCCTTGGGGTGCTGGTGGAGCCGGTCGGACGTGCCAGAGCTTTCCCAGGGAAGCGGAGTCGTGGCTTTGGTGCAGAATTGCCTGCACAGATGCTGAGGAGTGGGGGAAAAGGGCAACTGCAAACCCTACCGGAGCTGCTACCGTCCTACAGTCCCCACTGTCAGGAATTCTCACTTCCCTCCTTGAAAATTATTTTAAAGCTGTGGGAAAAACAGGACGCTTGGCAGGAGCAACCCTGCTCTCATGCCACTGCTTCACCACCCATTTTTCCTCATATTTGCGGTGCCACACTGCGGAGAGCCAGCTCATCACGGCCGGGGGACGGCTGGGAAGGACACGCTCGTCCTTGCAGCCCTGGGAGCCGGCACCCCGGGGAGGGCCCCTTCTCCAGCCTGGGGAAGGGGGGGTGCCACAGGCGATGCTCCAGCCAGCCCCCGGCGGGACAGGTATCGCCCCAGCAGTGGCGATGGAAGCGCCGTACCGGATTGTCAGCTGGTCCCGGCTCAGCTGCTTGAATCGCCGGTGCAGGTGCTCGATCTGCTCAGAGGTGACTGTCGGGGGAAAAGAGAGAGATGACGGGGGGGTGAGCTCCCTGGGCATGGGGCAGCCCCCGGGGGGACCCATCTGCAGAGCTCATGTCGTGCTCAGGGACTCAAGGAGCCTGGTGGGCATGAAAACCTGCTGCAAAGCATGGGACACCAGCAAAGCCCACCCCGTCTGGCAACAGCCAAAATGCTGCCTGCTCCCGCACCCTCCCCGGAGCGGGGCAGGGCCTTGGGCCCATCTTGGCACAGTCGTCCCCATCCCCGTTTCCCTTTGGTGGCTCTGCGCAGCCGTGCTGTCCCTTGCTCACTGCAGGGGGGTGATGCCAAGGGTGCTTTATAACCAGTCCTGGCCCCATTGGCATGGCACAGCACAGCAGGATCCCACCCCCCCGCCTCCAGTTTAGGATCCTTGGTGACAGACCCTTCAAACAGGCCTGACAGCTTGATTTGGGGTTTGTTGGCACCGTGGGCAGGACCCGTGGCCAGGGAGCAGGTCTTGACCTGCTCCAGGACATCTCTGCAGCTGGGTGGTTCATGTGCTCACGTCCACAGCCACGCTAGGTGACAGGGAAAAAAAAAAGCTGACGGCAGCCACCTGTGTCTTGCCAGGGGCCAGGAAAAGGCTGAATGTGGAGGAGAGGCATCAGCACCCAAAATGCAAATAGCTGCTGCTGCTCGGGG